GAGTTATAGGTCTGTGAACCATTTGTGAACTAGTTCCTTGATTGCAAAATGTATTTAAATCCATGAGAACTGCAAACTGTTGCTCGACTGAGATCTAGTTTCAGTTTATCTATCTATATACCAAGTTTCAGCCGTATTGGTCAAGTATTTGCCGAGTTATTGGACTGTGAACCACTTGTGAACTAGTTCTTTGCCCTGAAAATGATCTAAATATGTTGCTTGACTGAGAGCTAGTTTTTAGTTAATCTGAGCAGAGAGAAGGCACAAATCAAACATCAGGTCTATATCTATGCTATTACTTTTTGGGGAATCAAGCTGAACCAACGTGAACTAGTTCATATACTTGATTGTTTAATGATTTTTATTATTATTTTTGGCACTATATTATAATGGAAGAAAGGGAGAGTTTTGAATAGTAGAGACCAAGACTGCCTGAGTCCTCTCCATAAATTCGAGACCGAATTCTCGTTGTTCAGTTCCCTGAACTACTAGATCATTCTGATTGATACTGATTCCAATTGAGTTCTCTAATTGTTCAAAAAAAACCCCCTGTAAAATAATCGAAAATGTGTCCAAAGCACACACAGACAGATTAAAACGTTCTTCAATTAGAATAGGTTTCATTATGGAAAAATAATTGTAGCGTACAGTTTGTGTCCTTATTGCATACGTGCCTGGCTGGGCATAAAAAGGATTATATGGTACAGGGCGTTCCTTGGCCCAACTAATTTCATTTGGCGACTTTTCTTTGAGCATCTTTTAAGGTACACTGCAATTAAAATGGCCGCAGTTGCTGCGCATTTGCTCAATAAGTTATTCAATAATGAGCGCAGAGCGAGTCCTGTCACGTGCCTGCCGCCTTTTATTTTCATTGTTGCAGCCTGACATTCAGCCTGGTCTGGCGTCCAGGAGTTACCTACTCGTCCACCTGTCATTTGCCACTGCCTTGTCACGTGCGCCCACACTTTGTCAATGGAGCTGTTGCTGCTCCTCTTTCTGTTGCTGCTCCTGTTTCACGGCAGCACAAGCACGACATCTACGGCGACCAGCCTTTGACCCGCAAACCTTCATTTGGCTGGCATAAATAATGCAAACGTCCCGCTATATTCTAATCAGCCTGACGCGCAACATGAGCAGCTCACCCCTCGCCCGCCCACACTTATGATATATGTGCTTATGTGGAGCAGCGTTGGGTTCTCACAACTCTTGCCACGCCTATTTTTTTTTTTTTGGTAAGCCAAACCCTTCCAAGAGTCACATCGCACACTCCACTCGCGAGACATTGTTGTCATTGTGCACGAAAAATTAATTTGTTAGCTGCTGCATGCAAAATTTGATACTTTCTTAAAGTTGTTGGCAACTAGAGCTACGCAAGAGTTGGCTAGCAAAATGTTGAGATACGCTTGCCAAGACGAGAATTTCGCTGAGGGACGTGCTTCAAATGAATTATAATAATGTAAACCTTATACGAAATTCTATATTTAAAGAAATATTATGAACAACAAAAAGAAGTTAGATAAGTCAAATGCCAGACAGACAGAAAGGAATATCTACTTGCACAATAACTGCCCAATGGCAAAGTAGTTTCTGCAGGTTTGTTTGAATTTATCGCGCATACGCCGCGTTGCAGCTCAAACTGCAAATGGAAGCGAGAGAGAGAGAGGGATGCGGCAGGGTTTTTTTTTATAACTGCAACTTGTGCAACGGATCGCATCTTGTAGCCCATTAAAATTGCAATTTGCAACTGAAAATAAGGGTATACACAAGCACAACGGCAAACTTGCAGCATGTTGCACGAACATAATTTGACAACAGGCAGACAGTCCGCCCGACCAGCCCCCCCGGCGTCTCACCCAATCTTTTATAGTCATATCTTAGGCGCTGTCGTCGTCGTCGTCGTCATGATTTGTATGTGGCAGCAACGTTGAGTGCGTCAAGTGCAACTTAATGTCCAAAAGCGGAGCGCATAAAAATAAGGAAAAAGAGCTGAAAATGAAATAACTCGAAATGCTGCGAAGTGAAAGTTTTTTTTTAGGCGCAAAGCCATTAGCCAAGGCAGACAACCTTGACTGTCACCAGAGTCTCCAGTTCGTTGGAGCTTCGCTTTTTTTGCGCTCCACTCGACAATTAGTGCGGCCAACAGGAAAGGATAGAAAAATGCATTTGGCCCTGACGCGCTTCCACACAACGCCGCAATCTTTTGAGCTCGAGTGGAGACGATCTGTTGCCCGCCTTGGCATCAATTTGCAGAGGAAACACTTATGACTGCTTAATGATCGGTGGTTCAGTTGGGGGTGTGTGTTTGAGTGTGGGCAACGACTTTATCTACATGCATGCCACTAAATCTAAAGCTCATTACCATATGAAGCAATCAGTTAAAGTTGCTGTGCAGCACAGTCTGCCGTGTGTGCACAGTGGGCCGAATTGGTTTTCCCTGCCTCAAAATTGTGGAACTATAAAAACAATCTGATATTTAAGTTTAGTTGAACTTTGAGCTTGTGAGCTTGGCGGGCTTTTAAGCTACTGCCAGTTGTGCCTTGGAATATAAGTATTTTGTGTGGTTGAGCTTTGAGCTCTAAGTTTTTCTTTTTAGTATCAAGCACACTAATTAACTGTCCTTGAATTGGTATTGCTAAGCTTTTAAGTTGTTGCAGGTTAAGCTTTCAAGTGTTTGTTGTGCGTAGACAAATGCACGGTCTACAGTTTGTGAAAAGTGGGTCGGCAAAGCTTTCCTTAACACAGAATTTTGTAAATAAAACAGGGAGATAACCTCGATGTTTTAGCGAGCTTTAATTGAGATTCAATTGCTTTTGAGGTTCACTTAAAGCTCTCATGAGCTTTTCAGCTAGCTGAATAAAAAGCTTAGATATAAATCAAAATTGTATGCAACAAATTTGCGTGCTCTCAGCCCACTGTGCCAAGTCATGCCCCTAAGGGGCAGCTGCTGGAGACGCGCCTGGCTTTTCGATTTCTTTTTTGCAAGCAAAAAAAAAAAAAAAATAAGAAGAAATTGCCAAACGTCTTCAGTTGCTGCGCACATTCGTAGATAGCTTAAATAATTAATGTGCCTGCTGCAAAATGTACTTGCACAATTTTTTGTATTTTTGTGACTGCTTCAAAAATGTACAAGCAGGCTGCAACAATTCTTATAGGTGGCACGTGATGCTGCCGCGCACAGCAGGCGCATAAATTTTGCGCCACCAAAAACTTCACCAGCTGCGAATTGTTCGCACATTGACCAAAACCCCAAAGAGTCCCAAGAAACCGACTCTGACATGTTGCGCCATGTTGCAGCATTAATCGCTGGGTTTGCCGCCTCGGTGGCAACTTGTCGCTTGAGGTTTTCTTTTTTACTCCTGCCGAAGAGTACGCATATTTGATTTTATAACTTCGGACAACGACGCACATAAAAACGAGGTCATCAATGGGCCAAACCACCCGGACAGCAGCCAAAGGATTCAATTTGATTGGATTGAATGTCGGCAAAGTGTGCAGCAAGTGGCTTGGCATGATTTACCAGCCCAAGAAACACCAACCCTACGCTACCCTCGCCAGGCAGTGTATCGGGCTTGGGAATCACGTAATGGTTAAAACGAATGTTTTTTTTTTTTTTTGCCTACTCTCTCTACGCTCTTTTTTTTTTTCTGCCCATTGAGCTGCATTTTAAATGCCCATCGAATGCATAAAAATTCCAATGGCAATGCCCGTGGCTCGCCATCCGAATGAAATCGAAACTTATTAAATATTTAGTGATACCTCCAGCTCCTGCTACAGCCAGCCGACAAAAAAAAATGAGTTTACATTTGTTGTTTGACTTTATGATAATGTGCAGCACACCAAAAAAAAAGAAAAAAGAGAGGCAAAACCAAAGTCACGCAAATCGGCAACATTTACGCAACATTTGTTGCACAAGTTTTCAGTTCTTGTTGTAAGCGCCTGTTTGTTCAGTTTCTGGCAAAAAAACACCTGTGCCATCAGGTGCTCGCTACTCGCCCGTCATTTCCACTGGTTCAAGCTGACCTTTTGTTTGGCATTGCATCAGTTGCGGCGCATCATCAATTTTGCATGCCTGGGGACAGTGTGTGTGTGCAGGCGCAGCGGATACGACTACGGATCTGGACATGTGTATGCGAGTTGACTGGAAAAATCAACACGTTTAAACGATTTTATTAATTTATTTAACGCACGGCGCAAACTCTTAAACGCTTTAATTGAAGCCTAATGATTTGTAAAATGTCAACTGCAAAGGGCCTTAAAGCTGTTCAGAGCTAACAAATCGCTAGGCCTTTGAGCTATTAAGCTGAGTATTTGAGCAATTGGTATATTATTTAATATCATTTGTAAAACTCTTCGAAATAGCTAAGTTTCTGCAAGTTGTGTGAGAGTATAAAATGTAAATTAGAAGGAGAAGTTAGCGAATTTTAATATAGATATAGATTCTAGCTCAGCATCAACAGCCGAGTTGTTCGTCTGTTCCTCCGTTCCCCTGTCTATTTCCATGTGAATCGGTCTCTCACTCTTAAAGCTATCCTCTTGCAACCTTGCATAGATCCAAAGGGACGATCGGTTGAAAAGTAGCTTCTTGTATGCAAAGCGGTTTGTTCAATCAAATATCTTGACCAAGTTTCACTTTGCTTCCCACATATATATGAAAAATATTATTAACATCGGACTATTATAAAGCATAGCTTCCATAGGAATAATTGGAGCAAAAGCAGCTTCTTGTTTGGTAAATATTCAAACTCATGCATTTACGAGCTTCACTCCGCTCACCCAACTGCAAGGGTATTAAATCTACAAACATTGGAAAGTAGCTAAATTCATTTAGTCCAACTAATGTGCTGTATATTATATTTTTTTCTAGTATCGTAGTCGAGTTATATGTTTGATTGCTTCAGCTCAATTTGCGAATAGCTCAAATCGCTTTTAGCCTTGAGCAAATCCACTTTTTCCCTGCCTCGCCTCCATGCATAACAATTAACATTGATCAACGGCATAAATAAACGCAAATGTGTAACATTTATTGCCGTAAATCGCATAAATTAGCCGGATACGCAGCAGGATCCCAATCCCAAACCCAAACCGAGAAAAATCCACAATCCTCCCAATCACCTGTGCGTGCTGAGTCAGAGCGGGTCTCTCCCCCTCTCCCTCTCTCTCTCGGCCTCTCGACAGACACATGTGAGGTGCTATAAAATTTTCACATATTACTAGAAATTCATGGAAAATAATGCAATAAAAATTCACAGCCAAGCGTCGAGTCGCGGCTACGTTTGTGGGGGGGACCCCCTGACTATGTCTTAAGGGTCGTAATCCCCCCCGCCTCGACACACACACACACACACACATGTGAAGTGCCCGGCGTGTTGTGTATTCCTGCTTGACATTTGGCATCCTTTTTGTGCCCTAAGCGCGAGAGTATCTGGAATTTGTTGTGTGATTTGTAACGCATCTTAGTTAATGTAATCCCTATTTGTTAAAAGTTAATTTCTTAAAAGACGTTTGGATATTTAAAATTGTTTATCAATTACTAAAAAGATGTTTAATAACATTTGTTGTATATTTAATATTTGAAAGAAAAATCATAAGAAATGTTTTTCATATTTTTTTTCCAACACTCGACTTTGTTGCCTGCAAGAGCATTTGTCCATCGGCTAGGCTTGGCCTTGCCTGATTTTTATTTTTACATGTTTACCCAGACAAATTTTGTACGGTTTTTTATTTCATCAAGAGATTTGCAGCACTTGAGCAGCGCGAAAGCCACAAGCTGTCGGCCGGGTGGTTGGGTTAGGGGTAAGAGACACAAGGGCGACGAGGACGAGGACACTTTGGTTACGCTCCAACTCCTTGGCGCACTTGAGGTAGCACTTTTTCGGTTGGTTGGATTATTCCGCGGGCACCGCCAATCCGCATGCCATCATCATGAGCCGGCACAACTTGTGATTCCCAAACAAACAAACAAACAAACAGAACATGTAAAATATGTAAAAATGCTTGCAAAATGCCCAAGAGATGCACATAAAATATTTAACAGACAACAACAAAACAAGCGACTGTTTGCAACACGGCTTGGATGGGGAAAGGGGAAGGGGGAGAGGAGGGGCACAGGGATTGATGGGCGCAAAGGCATTTGTAGAAAACTTTTGTCAGCCCAAAAGTGTCGTCATGCGGGTATCCTGCATCGCCTTGTTAATCATTTGTTGTGCTTGTTGCAATAATCTATAACACGCCCCCTTCCGGCGCCCCTTTGGCTCATTAAAAAATGATCGTCAACTGGGGGGCATACGCCAAAGGCCATAGAGGGTAACGCAAGTTTCAACAACAGACAAAGTCGCAAAGTTTTTCAAATACAAACAACAAAAGACATACTGAAAGTTTCCTCAGGCAAGGCCCAAATGACGCATTTTCAATGGCAAGTTCGTATCGCCAGGGAATACCTGGGTTGGGAGGAAGAGAGAGCGGGAGGGGGGGGGGGGCATATATTATTGACTTACAAGCGAAACAAAATCAAAGTTAAACTTGCTCAGAATCTGCATAAATTAGAAGTGACAAAAAATTACAAGACTTAAAAATTGCATTTTGAATCGCATTGAAATCGTGATTTTTGAGCAAATCTCCTAAGTTTTAAGAGCTACTCTTTAAATTTCTAGAATAATATCTTTAAGTTAAAAGTATCTTTCATTTTATAGTTTTCGCTATCGCGAGCTGCAACTGTAGGTTCAGGGTATTCCCTAGTCGAAAACTCCCGACTAAAAAAAAAACCCATATATATATATACAATTTCAATCTCTACAATCTCTGCGCTTGCCTTTCTTTATAAAGTATATCGGATATTTCTGTATTAAACTTCTCCTCTTCTCTCTCTTGATTTCCTACAACTTGTTCTCTGCCTTTTGACTGTCTTTTGTTTATATTGAAAGCCAGCCTCTATATATTCCATATTCATGTTTAGCATTACATTTTCTAATGTTCTACTTTAAAACCCATCCATATTGCCCTCACACTCGTAAACCGGATATAATAATCATCAAATGATCTGCCTACTTCATTGCAACTGTGCCACATCATACATCATGCTCAAGTCTCCCCCCCTTGTGGGTAGGGGGGGGGAGGGTTTCATGCATACCTGAACAGCTGATTATGATGAGTCGGATAGGGGGCAGGGGGTCTGTTATTTTCCATTCGCCAGGAATGTCCTCTTTTTATTTCTGTGCGTTACAAATTAAAGTAATTCGCTTAACTTAAGCCGTGTCGTGAAACAGGACCATCAAACAAATAATTTCGCGAACGTTTTTACAACCCATGCCACGCCCCCCGCCCTGCGCCCAAATCCCAAACCCGCGTCCACCCCAAGCAGACATAAAAAATGATGTATTGTTTTAAAATGTGTTTTTTTTTCTCGCGCTGTGGCTTGCCTCTTGATTATGTGCGAACTGCAGCCAGTTGACGGTGTGTGTGTGTGTGTGTGTGTGTGTGTGTGTGTACTCCTGCCAGCTCCCTCCCCTCACCAAAAACAAAAACAAAAAAAAACAACAAGCTCCACTTGAAACTTTGCGACTAACAAGCGTCTAACAATTTGCCTGCGACTCTGCTCATCTCACTCGACGCTTCTCTCTTTTTATTACAGCTTCGACCGCGACCAGCCCTTCACATTCCAATTGGGCGCCGGCCAGGTGAGTTGAACTGTTCAGTTGAATGCCACATTTGGGGCAAGCACTGTTCCTATAGATACATAAATTGGGCACAAAAGAAATCCGATTTTGTTAGACTTATGACAGTTGAGCATTAGAGAGTATATGAAAAAAAGGATAAGTTAAGCGCTATAGAAAACTATTTAACAGAGGGCAGAGTTTACGATTTTAAAGAAATATATGTACATTCAATTTTTTAAGATTTTTAGAACATATTTTTTGTATAATTGTAATATAAACATCTCTATGAAGGTATACAAATTAGACTTTTTATCTAGCGCAATAGAAATTATTTCAAAAAACAGAGAGAAGAATTTCTTATAATAGTATCTTTTCAAAAAGTATTTGTATCCAGTTCTATAATTTTTCTAAAAAGCTTCTCGTACTTTCTCTTGCTATAAACAAATAGATTATTTAAAATTTTAATTCATGCTGAAACTTAAGTTAAGCTAAATAGGAAAAAGAAGAAAGTTTGAAAGTGAAGCAAGTTAAGTGTAGAAATTCCTTTTGGAAAGACTGTTTTCTAGGATCGTCTAAATATATTCTCCATTTTCATCTTAAGTAATTTTAAATCTAATAATATTATTCCCATTCACAGGTGATTAAGGGCTGGGACCAGGGTCTGCTGGACATGTGTGTGGGTAAGTTCTCTATAAATATCTCTATTAAGTATCCCCTATAAATCTGAATTTCCTTTGTTTGTTAGGTGAGAAGCGTAAGCTGACAATTCCGCCACAGTTGGGCTATGGTGATCAGGGTGCTGGCAATGTGATTCCACCGAAGGCCACTCTGGTCTTTGAGGTGGAGCTGATCAACATTGGCAACGCGCCGCCGACCACAAATGTGTTCAAGGAGATCGACGAGAACGCCGACAAGCAGCTGAGCCGCGAAGAGGTAATCGTCTATGTATGGATCGCACTTTTATCATTTTATTTATACTACACTCTATGTATATATATATATATGTGTATATATGTGATATATCCGTGGGTATCGGTTCGTTACTAACCTCATTCTTCACTTTTTTATTTTTACTATTTTTTAAATCATATTCCTAACTTGTTCTTATTACTTATTTTTTGCACTTAACTCACCTGCTCAGGTTAGCGAATATCTGAAGAAACAAATGACTGCCGTGGAGGGCCAGGACTCCGATGAGCTGAAGAACATGCTGCAGGAGAACGACAAGCTGGTCGAGGAGATATTCCAGCATGAGGACAAGGACAAGAACGGTTTCATCTCGCACGATGAGTTCTCCGGTCCCAAGCATGACGAGCTCTAAGGCTGAGGCTAGGACAAGTGCTTAAGTTATATCTATCTATAACTACCTATGTATAAATATCACAAACAACAACAACAACAACAACAACAGCGACACGCGACACATCAACAGACAACATTAACAACATACATATTCAAAACTAAGAACGAGTGGACTGATGCCCCTTGAAATACAGCCCCCCCCCTGAATAGGGGCGCTTTTAGTATACCCTCCCTCTCTCTATTTGGCAACATCATTCATATTTGTATATACATAAAATATCATATGTATAGAGTGTTAGGCAATTTGTAAAACAACTCTCTTCCACAATTTGTCGATTCTGTGACCCGGTTTATGCACTCTGGGTGAATGCTCAAAATACCCTTCTTCTAGGCCGTAGTTTAAATAATGTAAGGTACACCAGCAAAATGAAGGGTAGAATATGCGTTATATATCTTTTTTATATACATTTATAGGTTGTTATATTAAAGTTTGTAACTTATTTGTGTGTGAGTGTTGTGTCTGCCAACTGTGGATGAAACAATTAACATTTTTAAAAATTGTGAGCACAAATGGAACAGAAAATTAAATAAACAATTATCACAATAATTTAACAACCAAAATTGCGTTTCACTTTACGGGTTATGGTTCAGTCATTATAAAACAATCATTTTTATATATCCAATTGCATCTATACAAAACTTATAATTCCCAAATGGTTTTAGATTAAAACAAACAATACAATTTGAAACACAAACCGATTTTAACAGTTATATATAGTCGTTATTTATATTCAAATCGAAAATATACAGGAATATAATAAAGCACATCATATACAAATATGTTTTGATTTTACAATACAAGATTGAGAAAAATAAAAAAAACACTTTTGAACGTGAAAAGGCTGCCAAACGCTGTCACAGATTATTATACAAACATTGTAAAATTACAAAAATGTTTGCGTCGGCTCGTCAAGGAGAGGGGGCGCTAGGCGAGAGCGGGCGGAGGGGAATAAAAACCAAAAAAAAAAAAAAAAACACCCATGATATATATATTTATCATGTACTAATTATATATATATACACAGTAACTGCGCCATCAAACGATCCCATTGCAGCCGGCGAAGAATAGGTATTGCGATAAGCTGGGGGAGGGCGGGGAGCAACACATGATCACTTTATAGGCTTACGTAGCTAGAGGCTTGTTTAGAAATGTGTGAAAGTATTCAGCTGTATTGTATAGCATTATTATCTGTTCCATACTCGGGTAGTAAGGGAGGGGGGGGAGGCGGTGTGTTTCCATAAAGTACTAGTACCAGCAATTGCACTAAGGCTCCAGCGAGAGAATTGCATATTAGGCGTTTAATATATAGAAAACTAGCTCCAATATAATAGGATCCTGAATGCCAGACGATTCGCCATGCAGCGTGGCTATCAGATGATTATCGAGCGCATTCATATAAATCGGTGGCAGCTTAGCACCACGTGCGCCCGCCTCATAGCCGACCTGTTAACAATTTGAACATCTGTTAATTATCAGCCAACTATGTGGTTAGATTGTGGTTGAGCTTACGTTCTCCTGGTCCAGTGTGGCTCGCAGTGCCAGCTTATTGATGCCCGCTGCGGCGAGCAGATCTAGGAATGGTAACAGCGCCATTGAAGCGCTTCTGGCCAGCTGCTCGGCGATGCGCGTGATGTCCGCATAGTTGGTGCCATTTGTGGCATACCAATCCTCGCACTGTCAAACGAAAGCAGAGAAATGTGAGCTTAAGTTTAATCTTGGTGTGCAGGGATGAGCTTTAAGCAATCTTCTTTGAGTGCAGCAAATGTAAATTTTGAGCTTTAAGAGAGCTTAATTGATAACCATCAGCTAAAAGCCTTGTTAAAGCTTTGTTAACAAGAGCTTTTTGAGCTTTAATAGTAATTAGTTTAAGCTAATTAAAGCTTGAGTTCTTAGGGAGTTTGTTTATGCACAGAAAATTGTCTTAAAGAGCTTTAAGCTGTTTAAAGTGCCATTAAGCTCTCTGCCCGCATATCATGTGCTTTGAAAGCTTCTTAAATAATCGAGTTACGCACTTTGACAATAAAAATATCGCTCAAACGTATCGCATAATTGGTATTGGAATAGTTAAAGCTGGCATGCACACGCATATTGGCCACACCATCCATGGGCTTGTCATCTATGGGCGACTTGACGCTGCAAAACATAAGAAAATATAAATCAGATTAGTTGAGAGACTCGAAACCGATTTGACAACTTACCCCACATTGATCTCGCGATCATTATCCACCCACTTGATGCTGACAATTTCGCTTTGCTCCTCGCTGGCCGCGATGGGCCCACAGACGATGTCGATGTCGGTTTGATTGCGCAGCGCTTGACGCACCTCCTCCATTTTGGCTGGCATAATTTGGACCATGAGCCCGTCCTCGACAATGCTGCACTTGCCAGACAGGCCGCTGCTGCTCTTGAGCGCCTCGTTGAGCACAAAGAAACTGGCGCCCGTTATCTTTCTGGGCTGGCCCTGTATATTGATCGCCTGCGTGGAATAGGCATACATCTCGGACCGATCATCGTTGATGTTCTGCATGCAAACCAAATGACCGTCGGCCACTTTCGAGAAGTTGCCGGCAAATGCAAGTATATGATCCGTGGCATTGTTAATGGCCTTGATGACATCCGTTTGGCGATAGCGTGGTATAATCACCGTCGTCTGCCGCTCCTCCATGTGTATGTAGAGGCCACGTATGGCCGGCAGGGAGTACGTGTAGTTGCGAAAATCCACCAGAAAATTGATAATCGTCTGGGCTATCTCCCCATAGACAGACTCACGATTGCGCACCGAGATCAGCGGGCAAGGATAGTAGCGATACTGTGCGCCCAGGCGAAGTATGAGCCGCAGCGGCAACACCTTGGCCCAGGGCACCTCGTGCCGATGGATCAGCACGGCCACCAGATACGGATTATCCGGCACAATGACGCCCTGCAGGCACTGATATGTCGGCCTAATGTAGATGAAGCCGCCGTGCTCGCGCGAGCCCAGAAAGTTGGCGCTGCGTGGACTGGTAAAGGCCAGCTCCTGGGTGCTGGAACGTGCATGCTCTGCCTCCACATAGACCTCGTACAGATGCTGGAATATATCGCGCGGCACTGTCGGACCGCCAGCTGCAGGCGGCGGCTTGATTTCCAGCAGTATGATCAGCTCATCGTTGCCCACATGATGCAGACCCGATGTGGTAAAGTTCAGCACCCAGCGATTCATGCAGCAGCTCACTGCAAGAATTCAAAGGATTAGCTTCAGCTAAGAGGCGCACTCGATTTGGCTACTCACTGTTGACCACCTTGACCAGCACATAGAAATTGTTCTTCACAATGAACTTGAGCGTCTCGCGCTGTAAACGCTCTAAAAGATCCGCATCGTTGCGCACCTCCTTGTATTCCACATCACAGATGTTGTTGCTGTTACCGCTGCTGCTCACACAGATGGGGGGCAGGGCATGCTCCTCGTAGGGTATGAAACAGCCCTGAGCATCGCTGGGTGGCAATTTGCGGGAACGCTGCGGTTCCGTCTTGCGACGCGGCGAGCTTTGCGCTGTATTGCGACCAGCTAAAATAAGAGTAAAAGCAAACATAACATAAATGTGTGAGAATCGCATAGAAAGGCGACATTTAGTAGAGAGAAAGAGAGCGATAGAGAGAGCGAATATAAATTTAAAGCTTTACTCGAGCACAATTTGGTGAACCCTGCACGACTTACCGCTTGTCGCTTGGCTGCCCGCTGAGGCCGCTGTAAGCGTTGCCGCCGCCGCGCTGGGCGGTATGGAGCCACGGAATAGCTGCGCCACCAGACCCATGGTATTGTCAATACTGCTTGCGCTGCCGCCTCCGCTGCTGTTGGCGCCGGGCGTGGGCGGCTTTTGGCCGGCGCCGCTGTTGCTGCGCATCAGGCCGCGACGCGCCTGCTTGGCCTCGCCCCACTGCTGCTCCATGGTGCTGGCCAGCTCGCTGCCGGGTGCAATGCCATCGCTGAACATGACGCTCTTGCGCTTGCGCCCCTTCTTGCTGTCGGAACTGGAGTTCGACGAGCTGCCGTCGGTCTTCTTCAGCACGCCCACGGGCACAATGACGCTGGGCGGCGGAGCACCGGCGGCCGCCACCTGACGATGCGGCGGTATAGTTGAGCAATACTCCATGGGATTATTTGGATTGGGTGAGCGCATCGGCGTCGGCGGCAGCGCAGCCGGCGGTGCGCCCGCATACATATCGGAGACGCCGCCGTTGGCCTGCCGCTCGGTGAGTATCATGAAGCATTGCACGCAGACGCGCGACTCCGGCTCATTGGCGAACTCCAGATGGAACCGTTGCGAACAGCAAACGGAGCAGAGGACCTTGCCGCAGGCGCGACAATGATGCCGCCGCTTGATCATGGTGAACTTCTGCTGGCACTGCATGCACTGGCCGGCCATGTTGTCGGGCACCCAGATGGGCGGCACCTTGCCGAGATTCGCGTGCGGATCACTGTAGCCGACGGCCTCATAGATGGGACTGTCGTCATCCTCATCCTCGGCGCCAGCTGCTGGCGCCGCTGCAGCATTCGACTGCAGCTCTGACTGATCCGCCGCCTGCTCGGCGCCCGGCGGCGGCGTCTGGCCCGCATTCGTCTGGTAGCCGCCGTTCAGATCCAGCGTTTGCGGTCGTTGCGGTCGCTGCTCCTGCGTTTCCAGGGCATCCGTGCCGACGCTCTCCTCGTCATCCTCCAGTTTGCGACCGGACAACGAATCCGTATCGCTGGCCGTGCTGCTGAAGGATGAGGGCAGCTCCTCGGCTGTGGCTGGCGCCGCCTCGTGTGCGCGCAGCTCGGCGAATTCAACTGTGGATGCCTGTGAGAAGTTGTCCACATTCATTTGGTCCGCCGAGTTGGTCTCCTGCTCGGAGAGTATGCGCACCGATTCCTCCTCAGTGACTGGCGATTCGGTGGCGCCATCATCATCCTCGTCGTCGTCGTCATCATCATCGTCATCGTCGTCGTCGTCATCGACCTCAATCATTTCGTGTATCGGGTGCTGGCAGGATTCGGAGGAGGAGCTGGAGGCAGCAGCTGGCTCTGGTTCCACCTCAATATCCACCTCCACCTCCTGCAGCATGCTGTCCAGCTCCGTGTCCGAGATCTCATCCATGGTCGAGCAGAAGGTCAGCGGCTGACTGCGCTTGGCCGCCAGCTCCGCCTGCTGTTCCGGCTGCTGCTGCTCTGCCTGCAGCTGCTCCTGCTGCTGCTGCTCCTCCGCTGCTGTCAAAGTCTCCGGCTGAGGCACCTAACATATTGAGCATTAGGTTTAGCTTGGATATTGCTGCACAGACTTACCGCTGGCAGAATGTCCGTGCCAATGTCCTTGTCGGCGGCAGCACGCGCCTGGCTCTGCGTGTTCAGCTCCGTGCTGCTCTCCTCGGACAGTTCGTTGAGCACCTTGTCCAGGGCCGAGGAGGCGGTCACTTCACAGGGCAATATGGACTGCGATTCTGTTGTGTTGGTATTGGTTAGGGATATGGAGGAGAGACCCATGGCCAAGTCCTCCACAGCAGCCGATGCCTGTTGCTGTTGCTGCTGCTGCTGCGACGGATGCGACTCCGGCGCCGGCTCGCCGTTTGCCTTGGGCGGCAGTTCTAGAGCGCTGGGCTTTTCGCTTTCGGGCGGTGTGCTCAGCTCCTGTTCGTCCGAGTTGCTCACAGCGCCCGGCGATGGACCCGAGGAGAAGGTAGAACAGGAGGAGGTGGTCAGCGATTCGGTCGAGACGTTCAGCTCAGCGGCTTCCTTCAGCTGCTTGGCCTGCGACTCGCTAAACTTGTTAATGTCCTCGTGCCGGGCCAGCTCCTCCTCCTCCTCCTCGTACTCCTCCTGCTCGGGCGGCTGCTCCTCCTGCTGCGCTGCCCGCGCTGCCTGCCCCTCTGCCGTCCAGTCGTAGCTCTCGTGCGCCTGCAGCTCCGTGGCCAGCGACTGGACATTGTTGCGGTAATCGTTGAGGCTGTTGAACACCTGAGAGACGCCCACAAAGTTTTTGGCTGCGCCCGCGCTGCCATCGCCCATGGGGCGTGACTCGCCGCCCACACTTACAGTTGCCGCCGCGGCCGTTGCATTGCGGCTCAGCTGCTCGTCCGCTGCAAGAGTTAATTGTTAATCAAAATATGTGCACAGTTGGCGGCAGGTGGGATTGGGCGCACCTTTAAGCTCAGCTTCCAGATTGTCCAGGACCTGATCGATGTCCACCAGATCCATAGTAACTAGTCGGCTAGCATTTAAGCCTGAAACGAAAGACGTAATAGACGTTGAGAGCAGCTTGTTTTGGGTGAAAATTTTTCGCAAAGTGCGTGGGCGGACGGTGGAATGAATAGCGGGGTAGGGGGGATGGCTATTGGAATTGCTGAGGGGGAACGAACGTTCCCAGCAGAGACGCAAAAACAAGACAACAGAGCAAATAATGATTCATAGCGCTAATAGATGCGAGCTGCGTTGGCTGTCGATCAATTGTCTTATCAGTGTTTACGCTGCACATCCATTTTCGGTTGCAAATTATTGGAATTACCTTATTTACCCACTTCTTTTTGTTTAATTTTTCTTGCAAAATATGTTCGAAATGATTGAGCAGTCTGACCGTATTGCGATAAGGGATAAACGACAACTACAGATGAGCAGCTATGTTAAGCACCATGCATTAACATGCATTTTGGTATTGTTAAGGTGATTTTTAGTAATACCAAAAGTGTAGACCATGGTCTGCCCACCAAGTGCAGACGCTGTTAGTTAACATAGCCCGCTAACATTAGTCGAAAAAAAACCGTTGAAGGTGTCGGACGCGGGAGTATTGCGCGTTGTCAGTTCAAGTGTAAAGAAATTTAACAATTTGTTACAACGAATTTGTTGTAATTGTAATAAATAATGCGGCATACGATGTGCAATTAAATAAATAAGGTGCCTATTAGCGCAAACGGTTGAATTCGTGCGAAACACAAGCCAAAATATAAATGAAATATTTCGTTTAGTGAAGCAAACGCAAACAAGCAAAAGTAAAAGAAGAAAAACATAAAGAAGCCGCCACCGCTATGAACTGTGTCTCTCACTGTATGTGTGTGTGTGTGTGTACGCGACGAGCGCGCCTGTGTTTGTTGCGTGTATGCATGTGTGTGTGTATGAGTTGTCTGTGCGTGTAGGTAGTGGTGTGTATGGTGGGCGGAAAATCAAGTTAAAGCGCCCTCTACGCAAAACAAATTGCAGCTAAAAACGTTTTCGTTTCACACATTTAAATGCAAAAGCATTTGTATTTATTTGTTGTATTTATGTGCTTGCTGCTATTGTAATTTAGTTCTATGCTCAGCAACACACACACACACACACACACACGCACACACATAGACAAACGCTCAGGCAGCCATTCGCTGCTGCTGCGCTGCTGCCTCTGCTGGCACCTTTTGGTTGCGCTCTTGTCGCTCCGCTGTCTCATTTTATCATTTTTGTTTTGTTGCGTCTGTCTCTTTGGCTGTGCCTTTGGCCAGCTGCTTCGTGCAGTAATCTTGTTGTTTATTCTCTTTTGCGCTCTGCTCGCGCACACCTCCCAACCGCGGCCGCCTCTGCCGTTAGTTGCTTTGATTTAGCCGCGCGCGCACTAAAAATTGCTGTTAATTATTGAAAATTAAATGAATAAATGTGTTATTGATGATAGTCTATCTCTCGCTCGCTCTCTCTCTCTCTCTGGCACACACACACACACATGTGTTCGCAGCGCGCAATTGAATTGTTTTTATACGCGTTTTGTTTGAAATTCAATTGATAAATCGCGAATGCTTGTTCCATTGCCAAAATGTTTCAGTGCCTGTGTCTGTATATATATCATATATGAAAGCATAAATGAAATTTAAAGCGCGTGTTTTATTTAATTCATTTTTTATTGATCAGCGTGTACCAGTTTCTAAATTGCATTTACAAAATATACACAAAAATTTTTCAATAAAAAAAAAAATCTAAACAAACGCAATCGAATTCAAGAAATCGTTTTTGCTAAGCTCTTTATGCTGCCAATCGCCGCTAAATAAACAAATCTGGCATCAATTTCTCGACAACTGCTGCCGCTGCAACAACCCAACAACAACAACAACAGCAACAGCAACAACAATAACAACGCCGCCATCACCCACGCCAGTAAAATGAAATCAAAGCTGAAAGCTGCGCAGCTGACGTCGCCGTTGTCCAGCAACGGTAAATGGATGCTGGTCTCAGCGCTGCTGTTAGTTCTGCTGGTGGCCGCCACCCAAGCAGCTGAAGAGGTAAGTGCCAATTGAAAATAAGCGGAAATGGAACACCCGATCTTAATCGTAGGCAATTAAAGTGCGAACAGTTAAGTGGGAAGACAATTTTAACAGAATTGAGTTGAAATAAAACAAATAATACATTTCTAAAAATAACATGACAAGAACTAAGAGAGGCTGGAATGCAACAGATCGCTAGCATAACAGAGCTGTATACGCACTCTCTTTTGCTGTTAACCAAACATTTTTATGATCGATTTTTAATTTGCGAGGCTAACTTTTAAGTAATTACGAATTCATTAGGAATTTTTTAACCTGTAACGGTTTCAGTTGATTTTAGTTATATTTTATTTATGTAAATTGGATGTGGTACAGCGTAAATAATTGAATTATCACGAAACGTTGAAAACCAAGTATTTTCCTTGGTATATAAAACAATCTTTTCGCCTGCCCTTCAGTTTGTGGTATGCGAATAGTTTTTATTCGAAAATACTCGCTTCGCAGAGTTGCCAGATTTTGAATATTTTAGCAGTGCTGCCGGGTTTTGTTGCTTCGGTTTAAAATAACAAAAATTATTCAAAGTCCTGCAAAATGTTTATAGAAATGATGCAATTTGAATAGTCAATTGTGCTATAGTTTATCTTACAGGGTATTACAGGGTATGCCAGACTACAGGGTATTTTCTAGTCGACGGCATGCTTAGTTTACTCCAAATCCATTGAGCTGCTGTTTACAGGGTGTCTCTGGGTCGACTAACCACATTCAATTCCATTCCATTTGGAGTTTTACTTATTTTCCCATTTGATTGTTATGAAATTTCCTCTCATCGCAAACAGTTTGAATTCAATTTCTTGAGATTATGAACTACTTTAACCTCAAGTTGACCGCCTATTTCGCACCTGCCGTCGCCCCCACACCCCCCCCCCCCCTGCTCACTTAGCCTGGCGCTTTGCAAGCTGTTGTTTGCGGCTTGAGGTTTGCTTATTGCATTGCCAGCTGCTGTCTCTTTTCAATATCCCCCCCTCCCCCCCCTCTCTCTCTCTCTCTCTCTCTCCCAAGGCTTTTCCCATTCGCTATTTGCATTTGCCACTTAGTATGCAAAATAACAGAGAAATCTCTGAACTCTACCGCAAACTAATCAATATATGTTTATATGTATGTGTGTATGTATGTATGTGTGTATGTATGTATGTATTTGTCTCTATGTAACAATGCGCACTTTTTGGCTGTCTGGCAACGCTTGATGATATTGATGACACGATAATGAAGAGTGCAAGATGCTGTAAAAAGACATTAAAAGCGTCTGCATTGCTGCAGCGCATAAATATGGCAACATGTGCACATGTGTGCGTGTGTGCGTGTGTGCGTGTGTGTGAGTGTGTGTGCGTTATTCTGTGATGAATGTTGCACTCGCATACGCATTGCCCATAAGCGACTTATGCTTCATCTGCCTCTTCTCCTCCTTCTCTTTCTCCTTCTGCTCCTTCTCATTGTGAGCGTTGATCGTTTGCCAAAGTGTTGGCAAAAGGCATCCGGCTGTTGCCAATTGCAGTAGCCAGTTTTGTTTGTTTGTTTGTTTCACTGTTTGTGTGACTTATTGGCCCAAAATGTGCACACACAACTCACACACACACACACACACTTGCTCATACACATAAATAGTACATTGGCCCGTTTCGACTCGACCACTAGGCGCTGCTGTTGTTGCTGCTGTTGTTGTTGTTGTTGTTGTTGTAGTTGTCTTGTTTATCGTTCCGGTCCGGTCCAGTCTCGCCCGTTCCATTGCGTTCTCCTTTTTGTCTGTTTGTCACTTGTTTTTGCCAAAATTGGCCAAGTTGCGGTTATGGCTGAAGCTCTTCATCTGCTGCTTCTGCTTTTCTTTGCAGTTGCTGTTGTTGTTGCTGTTGTTGTTGTTGTTTATGCTACTCCTCGCCAAAAACATTTTAAGAACGTGCACAGTAAACCTGATGAAGAGCTACAAGCAGCCGGCAAGCAGAGAGAGAGAGAGAGAGAGAGAGAGCGAGCAAGAGCAAGAGTTCGAGTGTGGTCAGAGTTTTTGAGTGTGCAGGATAATGTAATGATTTGTGTGCGAAAGCGGACAGACAACAACACAAACACACACACGCACACATATGTCGCACAGGGAATGAGCAAGAGAGTGAGAGAGAGAGAGATGGAGGGGGGGGGGGGGGGCAGCCGCCGCCTGCTGCTTCTTTCTACACCCACAATACAAAGTTTTGTTTTTGGCTCGTTTACGCATTTGCGCTCATTAGCATTATTGGCATGTGTCGTGTTCGTGACATTGAGCGAGAGCAACACATTGCGGGAGAGTGAGAGCGCGCGTTCGAGTAGTGGGAGAGAGTGAGTTAGAAAATAACGGTGCGTTTAGAGGTGACCAGCCGCGCGTAATGCGGATTTGGCTCATCTTTGGCACATCTTCACGTGCTGTGCAACGGGTCTGTTAATGTGCTTGTGTTTATGGATTTCTGGGAAGGCATTTGTTTGGGCCAGACACGAACGCACAGCGATAAAGTGGCTTATATTGTCAATATTGTGGGTTTTTCTTCTTTTTTTTTTTTGATTTTCTTGTTTGGCCTGCCCGATGCTAGGGCTGTGCCATGATAACATGCAGGTAGCGAAATCAGCTGTTTGACACGCTGACGTCACTTTTATTTTGAGGTACATTTTAGCAGCGTTGCTAATAAATATATATTTCTTACGGCGTACACATCAGCTTAACGACACTTAATTCATTCTCACTCATTACACACCTATACCAATACCAGTTGCAGCTATTTCACTCGCACGCTCGTCTCAATTACTCACACATGCGTGTGCGTGTGTGTGTGTGTGTGTGTGTGTTGCTATGCACACTCGTCTTGCATTTAATAAGCAGTTGTTGCTGCTTGCACTTTGCTACTTGCTCTCACCTTCGCTGGCGTCGCGCTCATTGACGCCGAAAACGTAAACGCAGTAGACTTTGTTGTTGGCGTCGCCGTCGCCGTCGCCGTCGCTGTTAATGTCAAGATGTTATCAACAGCGTTTGTTGTTTCTTCTTTGAAATGTATTTTGCAAATGTCAACGGTACCAATACACCATTAACATACGCACACGAACTGTACATTTTCTGTTTACATTGCCCTTTAATCTCAGTTCAATTGAAAAGCCCCACAGATAATCAGCGCAAAATGCAATGATGGAAACGTTTTACGTTTTACACAAACGCGAGATAATTACAAAAAGCCTAGCAATCACCTACACACACACACACACACACGCACACACACACACACTTAAAAAACAAGATCACGTTACGAATGTCAGTCAGCGAGTCAAAGAGCAAGCGCTTAAGAGAGCGCGTCTGTGAGAGAGCGCTTGTGCGGATCAATTACACATGTTGTCTGACATGTGCATAAAAACAAAATCCAATTAGTAAATTTTTACATGTCAAGACAACATAAAAGCAAAGGCAATTGCAACAAAACCCAAAGGGTTGCCGCAAATAAACCAAAAGCAAAAACATTTGCGGCATCCGCGCAGCAGGCAACAGTCGAAATGTGAGGGCGCGATTACAACAGAGCGAAAGAGAGAGGGAGAGAGAGAGAGTTGTAAGAGAGCGAGCGAGGTACAGCATAAAAATGTGTGTGCAGGCGGCGAAATAAACACAACACAGCAGTAAACGAGCATAAAATGTAAATGTGTGTGTGAGTCAGTGTTGGTAGGCAGCAGACAAAGTTGAAGAAAAGAAGACAGCGACAAACGACGTCTCGGCGTGGTGGAGTTTTGTGTAGCTCCAACAGCAGCGTCAGTGGCAGCGACGCAAGCAGCAAAGTTGAGGGCTGTTGCTGCCTGCTGTTGTTGTTGTTGTTGGTTGGCTCTCGTTTTGCTTTGGTTGAAATTCAGTTTCTGCTGAGGTAAACAACACACAGTCGTGGCAAAGGCGGAGGCAGGGCCAGACCTGGCCGTGCCGGCAGTTTCAAGACCTGAGCGTAGACAGACCAAACAAGCAGATTGAACTGCTGCCGTCGTCGCCGTCCGTCGCTGCCTGCAAGAAGGGTAACGCAATGTCAATAATCATGCGTTGTTGCCGCTTTTCATTGTCGTTGTTGTTGTTGTTGTTGCTGTTTCATATGTTCGACTTGGGCTTGTTTCATTTTGCGGTTTGCTTGCGACAAGTTGTATCTCTGCGCTCGACGCCTCTTCCTATCGCGCTCCTTCTCTTTTTGGTTCTTGCAATATACATGCGTCCGTCCGTCCGTGCGTGCGTGCGTGCGTGCATGTTTGTATGTATGTATGTATGTGTTGTGTGTTTTACTGCTTTATTGGTTTTAAAAATTTTTTATTTCTGTTGTCCCACTGCGGATTTTAGTAGCTGTTTCCTCTGCGCTGAACACTATATGTATGTATGTATGTGAATGTGTTGGCATGTGTGCGTGTATTTTTAGGTTAATATATTAACTGCAATTTTCTTTGTTCAATGGCCGGGCATATGGCATATGGTGTATAAATTCTGCTCATGCCACTTCTATATAATTTACACTTGATTTGTTTACTGCGCATTGAGTTTATTTTTGTGTTTTAATTGCAAAAAATAGCGGCACACACACACACACACACGTACACGCACACGCACACATACATACGCCCCACACACTGCTCTTCAATTGGTTTGTCTTTGTGGCCTTTTCTCATTGACGCAAATCGCGCGTAAAATATTTTGTTATGCTGATTTTTGTTGCTTCCTCTTATGCGCGCTCTCTCGCTCTGGCTCTCTCGCTGCGACAGCCCTTCGGCCCCTGCTGTTGGCTGTATGGTGCGTATTTCCTGTGTGTGTCGTTTATTGTTGTTGCATTTTTGCTAGTTTATTTTATTTTATATTTTCTTTTTACTTCTCGGCTTTGTGCTTGTGTTTGCATATCATTAACATGGAAAACGTAAGCCGCAAACAATACCAAAAAAAAAAAAAAGAGTTAGCAGCCCACGCGGCAGCTGAGACAGCTGCACTTTTGACTCACACA